GCAAACCCAGACATGATGGCACACATTTATGTTTCACGGATTTGGGAGGCTCAAGTAGGAAGCTGGAAAGTTTGAGTCCAGCTGGAAGTACAGAGTAAGGCCTTTTCTCAAAACAAGCAAGAAATTGTGAATCAAGAAAAAAAAGAAAATCAGCTAGATTTGAAAAACAAACCAAAAAATCCTTTTTCTAAAGAATATGAAATCAAAGGGATAAGCTCCGAGCCACACTGAAATGAGTCTATTCGTGAGCCTCTCCCCTGCTGCTGGGGTAGAACTCACTAACTCACAGTTACAAACTGTTGGCAGTGTGTAAGCAAAGAGATAATAGATACAATCCATGGCCTAGAAAGTCTACTCTTATAAAAACGTGTCAACGTGTATATGAAAACTGCAGCAATAAGAAAGAGTGAAAAATCAGCTGTCTCTCTATTGACATGGGTAAATTCCCTAAGAATAACGCTGAGTGAGAGAAGTCAGACCAAGGAATTCAGGGCTCAGGCTCACAATGCACATGTTCATGCTGCTTTGTCTTTCCCCACCTCCTCTAACGTCTCAGACATCATCATCATGTAAAACCAAACTCTAGTGTTGGAGGTGGCAGATTTGTCTTAGAACTCTAAGTAAGCATAGGAAATGATGACACTAAACGTTAGAGTACTTTATCTCAAGGGCCAGAAAGGCCAGTGTGACTATGCATGGCAGGAAGGGGATCTTGAAGGTTGCTGGTGTTCTGCTACTACACTCGAGAAGAGATGACACCATATTCCCTTTGTAATAATTTGAGAAGATGCAAAGTGGGGTTTAATTCTTTTTTATTATATTTTTAAAGCAATTTTAAGCTTAAATATATTTTATCATATTCTTCTCCTCTCCTAATCCATCTTTTGAGAACTGTTTATTTTTCTTGTATGGGTGTTTGACCTGCATGTAGTACCCTTGGAGGCCAGAAGAGGGCATCAGATTTCCTGGGCCTGGAGTGCTGGAATAATGGGGTCGGTCCTCTGAGAAAGCAGTCAATGCTCTTAACTGATGAGCCATCTCTCCAGCCTTAATTCCTACTTCTTCAGGTGGCTTAACATTTCACAATGCAAAACCAAATGGATTTTATGTATTATGTATTTCAAAGACAGAATTTAGAAATGGAGGGTAGATACTGAGTAACTCACCAGGGATGCGGCACAGAGAAACAACGAGATTAAATATATATAAGCATGGGCTGAAAGGTTAAAAGATTCATCCACTAGCAACTCCAGAAGAAGGAAGTAATGGAGTAATATTTGAAGGGATAATTGCTGAGAATTTTCCAGATCTGATGATAACTTGGAATCCAAGTACCTAACAGGATAAATGAAAATAAATCCAAACCCAGGAACATACAGCAAAGCCCCAGAGCATTGGAGAGAAAGAGGCGATGCTAAAAGCTCAAAGGAGATAAAAGAAACAATCTTTACAGGAACTCCATTTAAACGGACAAGACAGCAGAGCTCTCCTTAGTGGCCAGCTGTGGTGGTTCAGACTGTAACTCCAGCACTCACGGGGCAGAAGGAAGAGGATTTGGAAGTTGTGACCTGTCTGCGCTGCATAGGAAGACCATGTCTCAAATAATCAAATGCACCATAAGGGATATAAAAAAAACTAGAAATTTATACTTATTCCAAATGAGGTCAAAATAAATAAAAGCCTAAAAAAGAATGGGCTTACTATCCTACACTCTGATTATGAAAGAATCAAGAACAAAATCAAAATTTGAATGGGGACATAAAAGGAACGGAACCAAAGAAACGATGCTGGGGCTGGGTGTGGTGGCATATATACATAATGCCAACATTTGACAGGCTGAGGCAAGCATACTAGGGACCCACTTGGGTTACAAAAAACGAGTAGGCCTCAAAACAATGACACTGGATATGGAAATGAATATAATGGGTCAATAAATATGATTTACTCTCAACTGTGAAGAAAGCTACTAATTACTGCATATTGAAGAAAATGAAAACTTTCAACAACAGAATTCAACATGATGAGCAAAGTTTCTAGGAATACAGCATTTGAAATCCTCATCATGGTTGAGAAACATTTAAAATATTAAAAATTTATATATATATATGTGTGTATCTATGTATATAAATATATGCTTTTAGAAAACCTTAGTAAATTATTTTTTGAATGTAAAAGAAAAAAAAATCACTAAACTGAAAAAAAATCTAATCAGTATTACTCTCAAATCGGCAGGAGAATGAAGGAAGACTCCGGCAGCTGGATGTGGCGGCTCATAGCTAGAAGCCTTGCATTTGGCAGGAAGGCTTTCCAGGCCATACAGTGACATCCTAGCTCAAGGATCAAAAGCAAAAACAGGGACAGGGGAGGAGCAAAAGGGTGAAGACAGACAGCTACAGTTTCAGTTTCTAAAGAGTGCAGAAAGTAACAAGTTAATAGCTTTGATTTCTAAGCCTCCCAACAATCTGTCAAATTAAAGGCATGATTATTATATGTGTTGAAAGACTGTCAAAAACGAATTAGTATAAATTTGGTAAGTTTTATCAATCTAGCACTATTCCTCTTTTTTTAAGTTTGTTTTGTTTTCTTAAAATATCTGTTAATGGACAAAAATGTAAAGATAAAGGGGGGATTCTGCCTACCAATATTTAAAAAGTTTTAATGGGCATGTGTGTATGCATATTATAGCAAATGAAAAGTAACTTAGACAATAGCAGAATAGACCCGCACAGTTAATTATCTTGAAAATAAGAGAGAAATGAAGCCCTAGATGAGATTAACTGCAAAGTTTTTATACAAATGCACAGCGGAGCAGGCATGGCTTGAGAGAGAGGATATTTTAGCACTAAGAACCAGTGGTATAAAGAAGTTATTGGACTAAGTTAAATAAACTGTCAGGCCAGAAGAGCAGATGAATGCTGTGGTGAGGGCCACACGCCACCCTGCTGAGTATATGCTATATCACATGGAGAATATCTTTCTGATCTCTGTGATGAGTGGTGATTTGGAATACATCTAACACAGGGAGCTCAAAACTACCAAATATGTAAGTGATACCAGGGCAGCGAGGCAGTTTTAACCGGGTGATTAAGACCCAGACAAACTGAGAGATGCCTCCTACCATTTGAGACCTACAGATGACCTAGCCCCATTGCTAGGGATGCTCCTAAAAAATGTTTGGAGCTGGAGAGATGGCTCAGCGGTTAAGAGCACTGACTGCTCTTCCAGAGGTCCTGAGTTCAATTCCCAGCAACCACATGGTGGCTCACAACCACCTATAATGAAATCTGGTGCCCTCTTTCGGCCTACAGGCAGGATACTGTATAAATAAATAAGTAAATCTTTAAAAAAAGAAAAAGAAAATGTTTGAAACTGGGTGTGGAGGCACGTGCCTATAACCCCATCCTCCAGGAAGTAAAGGCAGGAGGGTCAGAAGTTCTAGCTCAATCATCCTTAGCTACATAGGAAATTAAAGGCTGCTTGAGATACACAGGCCCTGTCTCAAAAAAAAAAAAAAAGTCAACAGCTTGGAATTCTGTCTTTTCAATAATAGCCTTGGAATTCTATCTTTTCAAAAGAAAAAGGAGACAAGAGAAAGATTTCACACTGGGTGAGAAGACTAGGTGACCCCCATCCTTGAGGCCTTTTCCAGATCTAAAAATACCGAAAATTCTGTCTCTCGTACAAGAGCAAAGAAAACATATTAACACTACTACAGTTGCTGCGACAATTATGGTAACCCCCAAACCACCTACTTTTATTTGAACACTGCTGCCCCGAGCATTCTCCAAAGTGAGGAATAAAGAAGAAAGGGGCTCATGGGACTTTACATCCCAAGAAGTGTTAAGCTAGCGTTAATATGCAGATGCCTTTGTCTAAAGAAGAGGGGTCGAGACTGCTGTGACTATAGTTCAGATAGGATACTTTGCAGGTTCAAGTCTCTGGGCCCAACCACTAGTGGCACGAAGAAGGGGGCTGTCGGCCTACCATCTGAGAAAATATTTTAACTATGACTAGAAGGCTAAGCCGTTGACTAGATAATCATCAGGTATTCTAAGAAATGAGTTCCAATAGTCATCAGGTAGTCCCTCCAATGTTATACAGAGTTATACAGAGTTAGGAACAGAGCTGGGCGGTAGACACCTGCTAGTACACATGCCAAGACGTGTTTGACTTTACAGACAAAATATTACTTCTGTGACTTTAAACCAATGTTTTGGTCTTTTTGTTTCTTTTCATGATTCTGGAGCCTGAATTTGGGATTCAGCTGGATCCTTGAGAATGTTAGGCAAAGTACTTTGTCCCTGAGTTCTACCGAGTCCTTTCATGTCCCTTGTATCATGTCCTATGATTTAGAGCGGCATAGTCCATTATAATTTGCAAATGCACCTGAAACACAGTTATTCCTGGGATAACTGGGACAAATCGCCTCTCTCTCTTTCTCACACCCATATGTAACATGATACTATGGAGAGACAAGTAAAGACAGCTGCTCTGCCCTTTTCTGCCCAAGGATTCACTATGCAACACTGGACATTTTAGTGACTAAAGAGAGAGTTTTAAGCCGAAATAACTGCTAGAGCCAGCCAATCCCTGCACTAAACTTCAAGGATAGAAAATGTGACATTGCACAACAGGAAAATAATATCCCCAAGGTGACAAAATCAATTTGTACCAACAACTGAGGAGATGGTATAATCTTGTCTCATGGAAGTCTTGACCCCTAGTTTAGTTCGAGGTTCTTTCTACCTAGTCAGAGGCCAAAAAAGTGCAACTTAAAACATGGTAATTTTTCCAGGTGTGGTGACTCATGTAATTGCATAAGAAGAAGGACTTCCACGAGTTCATGGTCAATTTAAAAGGACAATAGAGAGTTCTTGGCCAGCCAGGGATACATGACAAGATCCAGCCTCAACATAATACCTCTCCCCACAGAATGCCTGGCAATTTTCATTAACTAGGAATGTATGCCATATCACAAGTACTGATTGAAAAGAACTTACTTCCAATGCATAATACACAGGCTTGTCTCTGCCGAGTTTATAAGCCACAGTGGTCAAAAGACCATGTTCAGAAAATACACACTGTAGGAAAGAGAAACAAAGATTTTAGTGTGGAAAAAAATGTAAAGGATAGTATAAACCTTTTTTTCTTTTGAGACACAGTTTTACTGTGTAGTCCTGGCTAGCCTAGAACTCACTAGACCTGGCTTGCCTTGAACTCACAGAGATCTACTAGCCTCTGCCTGCCAAGTGCTGGGATTATAAAGGCATATACCACTATGCCCAGCTTCAATGTGAAAAAAATTTCAAGTTATAACAGAATGCTTATTCACAATAGTTTCATCAATAAAATAATAATTACTAAAACTAAGTCTTAGTCAATAGTAATAAGAACACCCTCAGACTGCTAAAAATTATTACTTATTTCAAATTAGATTTTCACTAAGAATCTGACATGTTACTAAATCTAGAATTTCCATTAACACAATGAAAAGAATAGTAAAAAATTAAAAAAAGCACAGGACTCTTATTAGAATCCCCCCAATTTCATGATTTTCATCATTTCTATTGAACCAAGTTAAACCATGATAAAGTTCAAGTAAACGATGAAGACCCAAAAAGCACACTAATAATGAATTAGATTCAAGCATTATGTACATGAGTGTAATGACGACTTTTTATCAATGTGAACTTAGAAGAAAAACCAACCTTATGGCCTGTGTTACACAGTAAGAAGCACCCTGTTCCATACCTATAGGCAGAGGAAGAATGAACAGCATGACAATTCTATCAAAAGCAAACAGCAAAATATTAGTACTACCGCTCATCAAAATGGACATTTAACCTAGTACAATAAAAGTCATTTTATGAAGCCTTCTAAAAAGTATTGAAAGCCAACAACTATAGCGATATTTTATTTGTACTTTAATAAATAAAGCTTGCCTGAAGTTCAGAGTACAGTGCTAAGCCATTAGAGGCCAGGAAGTGGTGGCACATTCCTTTAATTCCAGGACTCAAGGCCACCCCGGATTATACAAGGTTGAATAGAAGAGAAACAGAGCTCACACAAAGGCGATCCTAGCAGTTGGGATACCATGCCTTTAATGCCATCACTAGGGCAGTAGGGACAGGAGTGACGTGGCTAGGTAGGGAGAAGAATATAAGGCGGGAGGAGACAGGAGTTCAGTGCAGTCTGAGCTTTGGTGGGGAACATTGCAGTCTACATTCACTCTGAGAGCAGGATCACCCCTTTGAGTCTTGGCAGAGGTAAGAGCTCTCTAGTAGCTTGGCTGCTTTGCTTTTCTGATCTTCAGCTTGAACCCCAGTATCTGTCTCTGGGTTTTTATTAGTCGTGCTACACACATCACACACTAAATATTCTTCTTAACAGTATTTTTTGACAAATTAGTCTAGAAGGAAATATATTGAGATTAATTAATGGGGAAAATGCAGGTACAGGATTTAGCATTTAGTCAGTCGCAGGCCAAGGGCGTGTTTGTAAAATAGGACTGAAATACAACAAATTCTACATTCAATTGCAGTTAAATTCCAACCAGTCCTCACTGGGAGAAACAGCCTGACTAGCAGCCATTCACTAACGAGTTGGCCAGCTTAGCTCTATTACTAATCACAGCTATGAGCGGAGAAACACCACTATGTTCTGGTGGGGTCAAAGGATAAACATCGAATAACAGAAGGTATGGCCTGAAAACTAGGACAAAAGTGACCAACAAGGAAAAGCCATTTAAGGCTTACTGCTCTCATTGTCTCTGCAGGATAATATATCCCAACAGTGGCAGAATAATCAAAACCAGAACTCAGCATTGCTGATATGGAAGAACTGAACTGACTTTGTGGCGGTTTATCGCTGTAAGTTTTGGACAAGCTTTGGACTCTGTCACAAATCAGACACTTGGACCTAAGACAGTTTTGACTTGGGTATGCAAGATCAGTTGCTAACCCCAACTGATATAAGTAAGGGTCACGGAGAAACGGCTTTCTGGTTTGTTGTCGTTTTTGCTTTGTTTTTTGAGACAGGGTATCTCTGTGTAGCCCTGGTTGTCCTGGCCTGGAACTTGCTCTATACACCAGGCTGGCCTCGAACTCAGACAACAGTCTGCCTCTGTCTCCCGAGTGCTGGGATTAAAGGCATGCACCACCACCTCATGGCTGAGAAACAGTTCTAAAGTGAGAGAGATAACAAGGCTACTATAGCCACTGTTGACTCTGTCGAAACTTCTACTTCCTGCCCCACAGGATCCTATGTTATGTGCTACCATGGTTATAACTGTGTTGGTGCCTAGCCTCCAAGCTGGTAGAAGGATGATGGCAGAATCTATTACTGTTACTATGATGGCTTCATTTTTCTTGGGCCATAAACACAAACCATGTGCATTTTTCCTGAAAAATATTTTCTTCATACACCATAAGGGCAATAGTTACTTCAAAATATTCTCTTTCTACCCAAGTGGATTTTTTTTTGGCTTGCTCAGTGAACAAGTGACATGTCCAAGAGGTATGGGACTACTGAATATTTAAGTTTGCACAGATACTTGTCGAATACACTAAGTGTGAGCAATATATTTACCACCGAAGCACATGGCTTTCTCTACTTCTTTGCTGCCCAATGGAAACTGATTATGGTTTTTCATGTTGGGATTTTATTAAAAGTAGAAAGAAAGGCACTCAAGAAAAATAAAAGGATATTCAGGAATATGGATGAGGGCGTCTCAAAGAAGAGTTGCAGTTTACTAAAAGGCATTTCAAACAGATTTTATGCTGCTTCTATTAGATTGTGTAGCCCTGGCTATCTTGGGACTCTCTATGTAGACTAGGCTGGCCTTGGAACTCACAGAGATCTGCCTGCCTCAGCCTCTAGAGTGCTGAGATTAAAGGCATATAACAACCTGATAATTTTGTGTTTTTAAAAAGCAAACGGTCCCAGCACTTGGGAGGTAGAGGCAGGCGAATATTTGTGAGTCTGAGGCCAACCTGGTCCATAAGAGCTAATGCCAGGACAGGCTCCAAAATTACAGAGAAACCCTGTCTTGAAAAACAAAAGAAAGAAAGAAAGAAAGAATGAAAGAAAGAAAGAAAGAAAGAAAGAAAGAAAGAAAGAAAGAAAGAA